TATCTCAAGTATCCGATAAAATATTAAAGATGAGAGAGCAGGACCTTTTCTTTCAAAATTTCAGAGTCAGCCATGCTATCTTCAGGTAATGGTAATGTGTTTGGAACCATGCTTACTTCCTCTTGAATTTTGGAAAACATATCCATGATAGTATCCAGCAAAAATTTATCATTTCTGTGAGATGCGATGAATGACACAGAGATAGGATATTTTTCATGTTCTCCAAATGGGATAGCTGCCTGAAATTTAAAGCATGAACAAAGTTGTATACGTAACGTGTGTAGGACTTTTAGAGAAATAAACTAAAATATTGATCTGAAAATTGATACACTAAGGCCATTTTTGGAACACGAAAATGATAGGGGAAGGAGAGATAATACCAAGAAAAATATTTTCTTTCTTTTTTTTACCTTGGAAAGTATGAATGAAAATCAAAATTCATTAAAACTTTTAAGAGATATCATAATTCATAAATTTAGATTTCTTAGTCCTTATATGATTAGAAGGATATAAACAAATTTATTTAAAATATCTAAAATTTATTTATTGAGTTTGAGCCACTTGTTAAACTTTTCCTCAAATTTTCTCTTTCTGAATTTCTCCTGCTATTTTCTCTCCCTATCATCTTCCAGGTTCCAAAGATAAACTACCTGGCAGCAGCCTGACAAACTGGCAATGCTCAACAAAGCATATGTTCTTTCACGAATTTCAGTAGATAAACCTCTCTTTGATAGTTTTGATGGAGGGTCTGCAACTGTGGGAATGAGTAATATCCCATCATCCTTCAAAATATAAAGGAATGAAAATTCCAATCAGATAGTGCAACTTATTAAGCGCTTTGCAGAAAGCAAAAGGTAAAAGAATCAATACAGAGCATTTTGCATTAACAAAATGTCCCCAATTAACTCCAGAGCAATCACACCATGAGTTTAAGGTTCATCAAGGGACACGAACTATATAAAAAATAGATGAAAAGAATGGTACTGAAAGTGGATGCATTGATAAAATGCAACTATGAAGCTATACTAACCGCACAGAATTTTCCAATCACCCCATTACAACCTTATTTCTCTCAAACCAGAAAACATACTCGATGGGAATGCAAAGTTTATGGAGCCACATAGCACACAAACCAAGGAATAACTTCTCTTCCCTACCTCTAATCAATAAAGGAAAGAGTAAAAACTTTAAATCTTTTCAAGTACCTTTAGGAGACTCTGAAGAGCAGCTCGCAATTCAGTCTTGACCTTGTAAAGAAGCTTGATGCTTTCAGGGATTGAGGTAATGGCCGCAGAAATGCAACCAGCAACATCAGAAGCAAGCTTGGGTTTGACTTTGTTAATCCATTCTTCATAATTTGTCTTGAACTCGTATCTGGGGAATAAAATCATATCACAAGATTAAAATTTTAGACGTATTTCGCATAATGTACATTGCCATATACTCAATATGAAGTATAAAAAAGTACTAAAAGCCGACACAACTTTTTTTTAAAAAAAAAGAAAAGAAAAGAGATAAGTAATAAAGAAATTGGAAATAACCTACAAATAGAAAGACAAACAACAAGGATGATAAATAAAATAGTTCAAAATGCTAACAGAACTTTTGAAATTGTTTCTCTCCGGCTTCACTCAATCATACAAAGGAGACATAAGAATGTACCTTAGCAGTTGTGACATCACAGTAGCGAGAACTCTTAAAGTTGATATTCCCTGGTTCTGATGAATAGATTCTTCTTGAAAACTTTTCAAACTGGGAACATTTGAAGCAATATACTTTCCAAGATTGATGTGAAGAGGCATCTGGTCTGTGCTACCAAAACAAGTAAGAAATGTGACTTATAACTTTAGTCATGCTTAGATATATTGTATTAAAAGAACACCAATGTGCTCTAGGAAATTAAAATCCACCAAAAGCCCATAAGTCATGCCTAAAATTCAGGGAAGAGGATGAAATTGATAGCATGGTATCCTTAAAAATGTACTGCAACTTACAGCCAGACAATTTTCCTATTGCTCTGTTGACAACTGAGATGGTCTTCTGTGTGGGAACCTTAGACAGTTGAAAAAGATCATCAGCTACGAGAAAGCGTCTCTTCCCCTTGGTTTCAGAAGGAGTGAGCTGAAGTAAAGTGTGTCCAACTTTATGCAAAATAGAAGGGTCCTGAGAAAACCAACCTGGAAAGAAATATTTTCATTGTGTGAAAACATTTAATACTGCAGTAAAGCACAACTCCAACTTATCCAAAAGTTCAAAATGCCGATTAAAAAAGGCAGGCAACTAGCCAAATCGATACACGTGAAGCATTAACTATATGCATTCATGAAAGCAAAGATTGATTAGATTCATGACTCGCTGAGTATCTGAGTATGACCAAAAACAAATCTGGGTACCAAATTTTAATAGCACAATTACATTATGGCGGCATCACTTCACTTACCAATAGTGTCCAAACTTTGGGAAACCGGCAAAACACCAATAGCTGATACAACCCCTTGAGATGGCCTAAACCCGATAATGCCACAAAACGATGCTGGCAATCTGACACAACCAGTGGTATCAGTACCTAAAACATAGCAACATACATCGGTATAAAATAACATCAACTTTTTTGAAATAATGTATTATCACAGCATATAAACTCTACACTATATACTCAATGACCAATAAGACATTTTCTCCAAGCCACAAAATCTACCCTGGTTGTCTTTATTTGAATCTTTTTCCCATATAATAGTAAAAAAGTATACTACGTATTTAGGTTACTAGATATGCACATTGGGATTTGCAAATTAACTGATATCTGCATTCTGCAAGTACATGTTTTACACACATCACATATCCTTGTAGTGAAGGTAAACCATTCATACCGAGTGAAAAATCAACAAGTTTGGATGCAACAGCAACAGCTGAACCGCTCGATGAGCCACCAGGAATGTGAGATGGCAACTTTGGGTTAGTTGGAGTTCCATAGTGCGCATTCGTTCCAGTTAACCTGAGAGGATGATGAAAGATTATTGCTGAGTTTCTTCATTCAGCCTCGAATGTACGGAAATGAAGGTAAAATAATAATTTAGAAAAAAAATCGCGGAGTATTTCAAATAAGTTTTTTTTTCTTTATTTGTGTCAATAATGCCAATAGGCTTGTATGCTATTTTTGATAGTGTCCAATTATTCTAAACGTCACAAAATAATGTGGACAAAATATCTAGGAAACGCTGCCCTAGATAAGCATAAATGAGAAAACCATACCCAATACCGAGCTCATCCATAACTGTCTTTCCAACACAAGTAGCTCCAGCCTTCAGCAGAGTCGTCACAACCATGGCAGTCATCCCGGAAGCTTCATGCGTCCTCTTCCACTCTGCACTTCCGAACCCGGTCACGTAGCCCTTTACATCAATACTACAAAAACACCAAAAGTTAGTTTATTTAACACCTACAACTCTATAAGACCAAGAAAAGTAAACTAATTTCATGGCTTTTCCACTAGTAGGCAGATATCATTGACTGACTTGTCTTTGATGGCAAATGTGAGAGCAGAAAGGGGAAGACGAGCCGCGGGAGGAGGCGGCTGAGGAAAAGGAAGAAGCTCGAAGCGCTCGATAAAGGCGCCAAAGTCTTCTTTGATCGAGTCTTTGGCTCTCAGCCGCCGCCGGCGGTGGACCTCAGCAACGATCAGGACGCCGGCGACGCCAACGCCGATCGCAACCAATAGCTTGGGGTTGGAGACGTTGAGCTTCGACGGCTTCGTCATGGCCGGAAAAGAGAGGTGAATTGTCGGCGAATTTAGGGATTCTCTGAAGGGTTTTAGGGAGGTTTTTTGAGAAAATCCCAAGTTGGAAAAGTTGTCTGTGCCATACTCCGTAGAAAATACTGGAAATGACGGCTTTTGATCCTAACTTGTTTTCCAAGTTTTTTACTCCACAAAAGTCTCACTATTTCAAAAAACAAAAAAAAAACTCAAAATACAAATAAACTATAACTATTATCTCAAAATATAAATACTTGTAACCTGTTTTTATCATATAAAAAAATTGATTATACTATGATTATATATAAACTTAAGATTCAACATGGACCTACATATGAGCAAAATAAATATTTCTTTACTACTTAAATAAGCATTTGTTTAAAAAAATTATGTGAGAAAATCCAAAAAAATGATATGCATCTAATGTGTATCAAATAAGCACTCATGACAAAATATAATTTGTTTGCATCAAACGATTGTTCAAATAATTAGAATAAAAATGCCTCAAATAAAAAATTAGATAATTTACAAAGTACATCATAACTTTATTTTTTTAAACTATCATATTTTAAATATTACTCCGGGTACATTTTTTGACTCAATCCAAATAATTACTTTGATTTGAACTAATGTTTAATGTCATAAACATTTTGAATATCGAATACTTTGGTGCACATAAAGTCCACAATAATTAATATTGTGCATGGACCTCTTCATATAAAAAATTTTTTAAATATTTTTTAAAAATAAAAATAAAAATATTTTTCTCAACATCAAGAAAATGCTTATCAACCCCAGCTCATGTGTGGGTGTACCCTGGAGCTAAGGTCCACGATTAAATTTGTCTTCAACATTTATAGTTTTCAATGGCAAATATGTTTGGTAATACAAAATAAATTTTTTCCCCATCAGAATATACTTTTGAGTTGAAAAAATTAAGTACACACGATCTTATTACCACATATTTTTTCCTTCAGGGTCCGTTTGGTATAAGGAATTGATGGAATTGGAATTGAATTGGAATTGAAATTCCATGAGATTCAATTCCATAGAATTGAATTCTGTCAATTCCAATTCATTTTTTGCACTATCAATTCCAAATCCACATAATTTTTGTGCTACCAAACATCAGAATTGGAATTGAAGCCCTCAATTTCAATTCCATAATTTGAATTCCGTGTACCAAACGAGGCCTCAAAGATTAAACATGAACCTCTAGCAAATGGTATAATATCATTGATGATGTAAACTAGTCTAATTTTCATTACTAAAATAATCCATATATGATATCTTCCCAAATCATTATGGTACAGACATGGAGGGATTTCAAAACAAACATAGGGAAAAAAACCCAAGAAAAAGCTTGTCATCATCCCTTTCACCAAACATAAATACTATCATGTGAAGGATCTACACAATGAAGAAATCAATACCTATTCACCACACCCACAATATTATTATACTACAACACTACTACCGATCACACATTGTCGATTCTCCGAAATCGCATGCCTCTTTTCTGTAAATGCCCGTTACATTATTACGTGTACATGAATATTTATATATATACTGCACAAAGGAGGGGATGTTGATCTATGACCTACTCCTTGAACCGGACGACGATGCAGGAGAAATCATCTTTGCTGTCTCTTTCCAATGCTTCATTGGCCAATAGTTTTGCTGCCTTCTTTGGGTTCTTGGTCTTCATTGCAATATCAACAGCCTCTTGATTACTCACCACCTGAGATATGGAGGAGAGATGTCAATCAAGAAGAAGAAGAAGAAAGTTTCAATGGTGAGTGAGAGCAAGGAGTGCACCTTCCAGAGGCCATCACTTGCCAGGATGAGGAGATCCCAATCATCCCTGATCACAAGGTTGACAACGTCTGGGTCAGACCGCAAGTGAGACTTCAAGTTTTTGTCTCCAAATGCACGTGAAACAGCAAGTTGTCCATTTACTCTCGCAACGTCTCCTGAGATAGAGACATCCCAAGCAATATGGTGGTTTTATTCCCATTCATTTGTACACATAGGAAGTTATAGTCTGCTTGGTGTTTACTTGAGCCTTGCAAGTGAACATTATAATTTTTGAAAGTCGGCGGCGGGGGCGGGGGGAGATTTCAACTCGTGGCATGCTTTGATAAGTATGTCAAGAAACCAACTCAACCAAAAAACTCAAGCTTATGGTCATAGGCTCGGAGATGATTTTATAGTTTATACTAAACCTCACCTTTGGATGGGTTAGGCGTGATTATACATAGAATCAAAGCCCAATTTGGTGGTGGCTGGTAGGGTGCTAGTAGGTCGATGGCCTGGGTAGCCCATTTTGGGCCTCTCCTAGTTAATATAATACCAGCATTAAACAGTGAAAGTAGAGTTGTGTTATATTAAGTACTACATGAAAAAAGAAATATACTCTGTATTTTGGGCCGGGTTGCCATATGCCCACCCCTTCACTTGGCAGATGGGGTGCATTGAGCATCTGCCATCGGTTCGTTTGAGTTGGAGAATAAATGTGAGAGTAAGGTCCTTTTAAGGTTAGGCCTAATTTAACATGAAAGATGTGAAAGAAAGAGATTATCAAAACCTGGCATGTTTGAGACAAAACCACCTCTATCTTCTATGCTGCCACGCTCAATTTCAGGTTCATGATCAACTGACAATTGTATGGCCTCTCCTCGTTGTGAAAGGACTGCTCTTGAATCCCCAAGGTTAGCTACCCACAACCTCATGTCCTTTATAATGGCAGTGACTGCAGTGGACCCACCTCTTCCAAGATTAGGATCGTCCAGAATAGCCTGATCCGTTTTCTCATATGCTTTAAAGATTGCTCTCTGTGTATCGGTCCAGAAGTCATCCTGGAGAATGCAATAAGAGATAAAAATAAGCCATTATTTGAATGAACACTTACCCTTTAACAGTTACCAGTTCTGAGGAATAAACTACTAACACTTTATTAATAAATCACCCTGTTCTTTTATGAAAAACAATTTTCATTTATCCATCCTTTATAGAGTACTATTCTAAGGAATGACATTTTATTATCTTTTTACAAACAACTAGTTTTATCAAACACTTCTACCCAAATGAACAGCTATTACTTTTCATCTTCTAACTATTAGTTGTCCAGCATTCAACTAGTTTCCCAATGTATTTAAATGAAACATTTTGACAATGTTTTATTTTTGGGTAAATAATGGACTAAATCAAAAAAGCACATTAAATTTCCCTTGCTTCTTACTTTCTAAGAAGTTTTGACATTAAAGTGCAGCAATGCATTAAAAGTCTCACTGAAACAACTTCTTTGTGCTTTTTAGAGGGCTAAGGTTGCATATATGTAGATCCCCAAGACCCTAGCAGAGTTGGGATTATAATAAGTTTGATGTTGTTGAACTGCTTTTCCAGTATAATGTCTCCTATTACATGGGATCTTATATACTAATGTTTAGAATGCTCAATTTGGCTTTTCTTTAAAGGCTAACCTCATTCAAGATATTGGAAAACAAATGCTTTTGCAGATATGCAGGTACATTGTGTCCTAAATGCCCATCATAAATTGCAAAAAGTCCGAGTTCCTTTCCACAATCATGAACAAACTTGGCAACATGGTAATCCTCCATCGGATGATTTGCTTTCCCTTTGACTAGGCTGAATCCATACTTAAAACGCCATTGATGGCTTCTTCCATTGCCGCAGCGTAAGGATGACCCTCCTCCTGCAAGCTAAACTTGCCTTATAAAATCAGTTCTGCAACAAACATAAATACATTTCCAAACACACTTTTTGCACGTGGTCCAAAAACAAAATATCGGACCTGTTTGGTCGATGATATATCTAAGAGCTTTTAGCTTTTTGAGTATGAATTAGTTGTTTGTTGACTTTGATCATGTCAAAAAACTAGTTTTAATGTTTGGTATACAAATGTCTTTTTTGGAATATAGTTTTAGCTTTTTACCATATAGGTCATTTTACATGTTTAAAACGCTAGTAACAGCTACTAATTACTACAATTAGTAGAACATTACCAAACATATCTGCAGTAACAAACATCTCTACATAAATAGCTCAAGTAAAAGTTAGTCAAACCACTAATACAAACAAGTAATTTCAAGCAAATGTTAATTGCCAAACATGGCCATGAACATCCATTTAGGTGGGATAATACACAATTCCAAAGTTAAATCATTACGGAGTAGTTTGTTACGATCCCTAGGTCCACATTTATAATTATTCAAACAAGAAACACATCCTAGCCTACCGTAAGAAACAATTGCATACTTTCAACAAAAGTCAGCTAAACACTATGGCCTAGTGGTTGTTTCATGATACAATAAACAAACTTAACAGAAGATCTATGGTGCACACTACTAAATTGAAAGGGCAAAATGATGCCACCTTACAAACATATAAAAATTGAGTACGCGCCACATAGGCGGCATCTTGTCCACTCATATGGAACACGCCAACATGCTCGATAAACTTTCTGCAAACACCTAGAGCTTATGACCAGAGCAAGGCCTCAACACTTTAAGCCCAAATAGTCCATTAAAAACTACACAAATAGCTGAGGGAGAAAGTCAAATGGATCCCAAACATAATCGCTACCAATAAAACACCTCACCGAATCGAAACAGCAAAGACAACCCATTTGATTCAGCTCAACTTCTTCCTCTACCAATCAACATCTAACCTTCAATAGAACTGGAAACACAAAAATTCGAAGCCTCTGTAATACAAAACGAGACCTTGATCATTAAAATGAAAAAAAACAAACAAGCTTAATAACGAGCACCTCGTGTGCATTGCAAGGATCAATTTTTCATCAAGATTCTGCTTTTAGGGGGGGGAAAATGAAGCTCACTGCAAATCAAGCAAAGGGTGTGTAAAGGAATTTCAACAGTTCAACTCTCCGATCCAATTGCATCGAAAATATTCAAGAAGCGACAAGGGAAAAAATGGCTCACCTAGTGGATTTTGACTTGGCCGCTGACCCAGATATTTTATGCACCGGCTAGCATAGAAAAAAGCTCCGGTGGAGAATGAAAATAAAGATTTTGCTGTGGTGTTCGTTGAACGTTTCTCCTGTTTTGGTATTCGGATTCTGTGCAGGCAAAATATGTCTTCGGCCTTTCCTTATTGACTTTGTTGTATTTTCGAATAGAAAATTTTTGTAGGGTATCCTCAATTTTTTTTGTAGAGGGTATCTTCAATTTTGTTGAAATATCTAGATTTTACATTATTTAAAAGATAATTCACTTAAATAATACTAAAACATATTTAATTTATCCATACGCGACTTGAAGAGATCCCCTCTTACAATACCCCTCTAATTGCACCCAACATAATTTAGTTGACTTTGGAGTTATAGTTTAACTCTAAAATCAACTAAATTTTGTGCGATGCAATTGAATGGAGCCAAAGGGGTTACGAGGGAAAGGAACCATCAATTTTTCAAAGGAAACACCATAAATGCTCCAATCGTAGCCCATGTCATAGAATAACATGAGGGACTACTATCACCCGAAGTTCTTCTAATTAATTAATTTAATGTTAGTTTTGGAAAAAACTTGTTCAGTGCCATTTGGGGAAAGTATTAAGTTTTGGTGCTACATTGAGCAAATTTCACTTCTCTAAAATATACCCTGGGTACCCTCGATTTTGAGGTAAGAACTTTCAGTTCCCATATTATTCAAAATATATTACGAAGCCCTAAAAGTTTATGATATTATATTCAGATTGTACATTGTGTCCATTTAGGCGTTATGATTGAAAGTTTCTTTACTTTGAAAGATTGAAAATTTTTATTTAAATTTAATAAAATAACGAGTATTAAGAAAAAATTTAGTATCTGTCAAAATATTAAGACGTTTAATCCTAATGGTCAAATAGACGGAATGTACTTTTGGAGTACATTACCACTAATTTTGAAAACCCCTGAAATATATTTTGAATAATTTTCGAACTTGAGAGTTTTTACAAGAAAATCGAGAACACGCTAGAGTATGTTTCAGATAATGCGAAATATGAATATAATTACCAAAAAACTGATGGTACCCGGTAGTAATTTTCTTTGTCTTCTCTAATGGTATTGTCAATGGGTAAATTATATATTGAGTACCTTGATAATAATTACAGAGTATTCTACTCAAATAATAAAAATAGGAAAGAGGAAAAAATTTAAAATAGAATTTTCATATTTGTATCCTCAAAATATGACCAACATTTATTTTTAATAAAGAAAAATAGCACTGACTTAATTTTAAAATCAGCTATACACATTTTCACCGCATTACCAAATTGTAACTATATAATGTCAACCGAAGTTACAGTGCAACGATGGTAAAACAAATAAATAAATATGACACTTCATAATATCAAAGGTGTTAATGTATAATATCAAAAATACAATCAAATGCCAAGAAATAATGTGACTTGCCGGCAAAATAAATTCATTTCGCATCGCATGCCAAATTCTAAAAAAGAAGAGCAAAAGGTTGTGATAATACATTCAAGAAGAGCATTACTCGTTTTTGTTCAACCTTTTTTCCGTAGCTACTCAAAATTTTCAAGATCATAATATTTGATCATGTTTTTTATACAATCAATTGGTGAATAGAATTGCAAAAATTTGATTCTCAATCGCATCTGTATTCGTTTGTACGAAAAATATTCGCATCCGTTTACAAATAAAAAAATTGACCAGCTCCTTGGCCTTCTCTTGGGCTATCCAAGAAGGTTTAGGGTATCCTTGTTTGGTAACAAAATTGTGTATGGTTTGAATTTTTTTAATTTAAAATTATTGGAAAGTGTTGAATACTTTAATAAAAAGCAAAGTTGAGGTTCAACTAGCTAGATGAGCGTTGTGAATTAAATAACGGTTGTGTTACGTGGGCAACGTATGGCACAAGGAAGCACACGGCTACAAGAATTTGAATCCTAGTGTGATTTGGTTTCCTTACTTGTTGGAGTCAATTTATGTTGTTTAGTAGAATTCTTTTCCTAATAGGATTTGGGAAAACTTCTCACCTATATTAAGGGGAGATCCTTGTACTTAGAAGAACATAACAAAAGATTATTTTCCCTCAATTATTTACGGCATATCCTCCGTTTTACATAGTATCAGAGCAGCGATCGAAATCATGACCAAAGCTCCAAAGCCGAAACATGAGACCCCGTCCAGAACCACGAACAACGGCGACGAGATGAAGAAGCCTAGTCCGTATGATTTGAAGTCCGTAGATACTCCAGGATTGCTGATTACTCAGGTTAAACTAACCGGCAGGAACTATGAAGAATGGGTGAGACCGCGAGAGCAATGAGAATAGCTCTCTGCGCCAAGAGAAAGTTCGGCTTTATCGACGGAACTATATCTTGTCCCGAAGAAGACTCCAACGAGATTGAAGAATGGTGGATTGTCAATGCTATGCTCGTTTCGTGGATCTACAACACCATCGAGACGGACTTACGAAATTCCATCACCTAAGTAGAGGTGGCGGCAGACTTGTGGAATGGTATCAAGGCGAGGTTCTCCGTGGCCAACGGACCACGAATACACTAACTGAAAAAGGAAATGGCAAACATAAAGCAAAATGGTCAGAAAATCGTTAAGCACTATGGCAAGTTGAAAGCAATCTGGGATGAATTGTATGATATGCTGAAAGTACCTACAGGTAAGTGTGGTGGATGCAAGTGTGGCTTAACCGCGCTATTGGAGAAACAACGTGACGAAGAAAAGGTGCATCAATTTCTGATGGGCCTAGATAATGAAGGGTATGGAAGCCTACGCTCGAACATCCTCAGCACTAAGCCTCTTCCTTCCATCAACCGAGTCTACTCCGTGATAACCCAGCAAGAAGGAGTGCTAAAACTGACAATGGAAGAAGACCGAAACCCTATGGGTTTTGCCATGGCCACTGGAAGACCAAATCGGGACAACAACCTCAAGTGCAAGAACTGTGGACAGACGGGATAGCCCGATAGGACAGTTGGTAACCCTCCGGGAGGAGGTTACGAAGCTCGTGGACTTGAGCTTTCTTCATAAAAGACTAGAGCTCTTGGAGCAACCGGTCATCCAGCCAGACGTGGCCCTCCTCAACTGACCGGGCTACGGTAACCACCTGAGCCGTGGAAGAAGGAGGAGCAGAGGCGGCAACGTCGACCGGCTTCTCCTGTTTAGAAGAAATCGGGCACTGACTTGACTTAGAGGGGGAAGAAGAAGAGTGGGACTGGAGGCCTGAGATCGGGTGCCAGAATCATAGGAATGGATGGAAATGTTCTGGCTGTTCTTGTTCTCAGACATGACGGCAAATCGAAGCAAGGAAAGGGGAAGGAGAACTTACTTGGACTCGGAAGACTCGGAGGACTAAAAAAAATAGTTGATTCTACCTGGTAGTTTTTTAGAAAGCAAGTTATAAGTGAGAAATTCGGTAAAGAACCTTAGTTTATATAGGGAATGTGCCGCCCAGCAAGACCAATAGAAAAATGACACGTGGCAACCGGAATAATTAGCAATGATAACCTCTCGGGAAGAGGAAACGATGCAACAACTAGGCGGCATTGTACTGGATTTTCGTAAAGTCTTTCCCGTCATCCACGCCCAGGAATTCAAAATTCAAAAATGTTCGGCACCGGTTTCCACGAAATCATTCCCGCCAACTTCGCTCGAAAAAAATCAAAATTCTAAAATTGCTCAGCTATTTGATTCTCGCCCTTGTTGGTGCCCACAGGGCCGGGAATCGGAGGACTCCTTGATGGTAGGAGTGGGCACGGATCGGGACGGTCCGGATTTTAGGTTGTCCCGCTTCTTGTCCCGTTTTATATAAACGACCTGAAACGGTTTGGATTACAATCTTATCCCGGTTTGTCCCTCAACATTCGGGATCAGAATAAATAGGGACGGATTCGGGTCATCCTATTTTGTCCTTAACGCAAATATAAGAAGGGGGAGAGGGTGACATTTCATTCAAATAAAAAAGAAACATCTAGTCATCCAACAAAAAATAATGAGTGAACCGGGACCAAATAAATTTAATAAACTTTGGGCTGAAATCTCAAGCATATGAAGTTCATTTAATTAATTAATTAATTTAAGAATGAGCATATTTTGATTTTGGACTAGAACTTGTATTATATATTAGTAGAGTAGATGAAACGGGACAAACGGGACGGATCAGTATAAATTTAAGCTGTCCCGCTCATGTCCCATTTGATATTGGGACAGAACGGGTTCGAGATAAAAGAAATGTGTCCTAATTAATCGGTACAATTACAAAACGGATCTGGGATTTTTCAGAATGGATTTCGCGCACACCCCTACTTGATGGGTATAACCCATTGGAACCACCCATAAGGTTCACAGGCGCCCGGCAGGTACCTAAGTCTATCCTCACAAGACCTTGTCAACCACGGTAGTCTGACCGTGCGGATGTTAGGGGGTCAGAATTGAGAGATTGTGTTTGTCTATTCTTGTAAATAGGAGAAAAAGCCTCATTAAGAGGCATGCAATAAATAATCTGCACAACTTGTAAACTTGTAAATGGCACCGACATTGTTAATAAATAACACGAGTTACAGGTGTTCCCACCTACAGCCCTTTCGCTTATATATATATATATATATATATATATATATATATATATATATATATATATATATATACATACATGTCATCGTCTTTGTTTTAACTTGAATAAATCTTTGGCGCTCGCTCTCTGCTTGGCTTGACACGCACAACGTACAAAGTATGTATATATACGTATGCCTTTTTTCTTGATTTCAAATCTTTTAAGCAAACCCCCCCTTCCCCAGCAAGTTTCATGCTCGATGGATCTTGAACACTCATCCGTACATCACTTCAATCTTGATTAATTTACAGGTCTGTCTGCGATTTGGAATTTGGAAATAATAGCGCAATATGATTCTGTGGGCCTAGCGCAGAGTGCGAAATGTGTATCGAGATAAAGCTGAGTTCTTCTAACCGTGAGGAAGCGGCGGCTAAAAAAAAGTTCTTGGCACCGGAGAAGGGGTGGGACGATGAGTTCTCCATGTTCCTCAATGTAAGTGTGTGCATGCCCCATATATCTTTAATTAATTCTTGAAATGTGGTTTGATAAGATGACG